TACGGGGACAGGGGCACCCCAAAGTACATCAATTGTTCTCTTAGCCGTGTGCGGTGCCCCCTCCATAGTTTACTCCTCCGGTCATATTGTCGTAGTGCTTAGGCGAAGCCCTGCGTGGATCACATCACCATCACCGTCACCACGTCGTCGTGCTGACGAAACTCTCCCTCGACACTTTGCTAGATCAAGAGTTCAAGGGACGTCGTCGAGCTGAACGTGTGCTGAACTCGGAGGTGTCGTACGTTCGGTGCTTGATCGGTTGGATCGCGAAGACGTTCGACTACATCAACCGCGTTAAGTTAACGCTTCCGCTTTCGGTCTACGAGGGTACGTGGACACACTCTCCCCCTCTCGTTGCTATGCATCTCCTAGATAGACCTTGCGTGATCGTAGGAAACTTTTTGAAATTGCATGCTACGTTCCCAATAGAGAGACGAGGAGAGAGGGCATCGGCGACAAGAGAAGGAGGGCTGCGGGCGGGTGATTCCACCTGCGAGGGAGGGGCGGCTTTTATAGCGGCCGGAGAGCGGCAACACGTGTGTACGCATGGCGGGAAGGGGGCGCGTCGTCGCACCGCGCCGCCCATGAGGAATCAATGGAAGGCTGACCGGCAGCAGCCTTGGTTTTGATTCCCCGCGGAAAACCGAGGCGATGAGGACGACGAGGCTCGGGGGTCGCTGACTTGGCGGGCCCACCGTTCTTTCGTGCCAAAAATGATTGCTCCGGCGCCCCCGGGCGCCCCCCAGCACACTGGGTTCGGCCTGGATCCGTCGGAGCCAGTTTCGGGCCTAACCGGCGAAAAATAAGCTCATGGGGACGCAACTGGGCCATTTTTTAGGCGCCGGCGCCGAAAAGGGGGCCTGGGGGGCCTGTTGGGGGCGCGGCTGGAGATGCTCTCACTCATGTACGCTTCGGATCAACAGCCGGCCATTTCTGCATGCATGGACCATGGACCACTCCAATGGAAGCAGCACTGCAGCGCTACTACTAAAGATGCACCTTCATCTAAAAAAAACTAGAGATGCACCTCTACAAGGAGAGCTGCCATTGGGGCCTAGCCACAGGGGAGAAAGAGAAAGGGAAGGTATAGTGATGGTGATGGTGAGGGCAGGGGGGCCATGTTGGAGATTACCTCACTCGCTGAGAGGCGGAGGAGCACCTGGCTGGGTCCCTTCTTCTACGGGGAGCTACTTCCATGATGGTGATGCAGTCAGACATCATAGCTGCTTGCTTCGTAGTAGCAGTGGTAGAACACCTGCTATCGTGTTGCAGGCCTGCCGAGACAAAGACAATACATCAGCCTATGCATTATCCAAATTACACCCAAGCTGAGAGCAGATGTAGTAGTGTATAGGAAAAAGGGGACGATGGAAACTGATCATCGCAAGATGCGTTTTGCATTCTGGTAGTTCATGGCAACGTCTGGGGGAGCATGCCCTTATAATGTTGGCCATTTATGAACTGTGATTTTGTTGGTACATCCAGGCAATGTACTCGCAGGATCGCAAACATGTACTATTTTCTTTCCACCAAACAAACAACGGACAGGATGTACATGCACACATATACAATGGCATTGCGCCACCAATCTAGTATTGTACACACAAAGTAAAACTCATGAACTTCTTTGTCCCAGCAATGCTGTGTACACTATAAACAAAGTGAATCTATACACTACGAAGGAAACTTCTGGAAAAAGGGGTATCTGGCTATGCTACTTCTCTACATGGTCTCCGTATTTGCAACCAACTTCAGGTCACTCACGCTCTGATATTGTGGTGAATGTGATGGAGGCTTGTGTCGTCTCTTGCGACAACAAAGGAGAAGAGTGTGCCATGATAGTGGATAGCAACGTGGAGGATGAAGCGAAAGCAATGTTATTTTCTCTCCTCATGCTCCTGATCTTAAGGTTCATAAAGTCGCTAATTGTAGCGGGCTTGCTGATCTTCTCCGAGTCAACATCCTTTTCGCCTGTTAGCATGCTGACGACAGTTGACATAGTGGGTCGATGTCTTGTGACATCTTGTGTACAGAGAAGTCCAACTTTCAGGAACCTGCAGGCTTGTTCAATATCCAAATCATCACCCGCAGAACTGTCTATGATTTTCGCCAAATCTCCCTGCTCATAATACATCCATGTCTGCAAGAGGAGAACCCCATTGGTAACCTCTGGGAACTGTAGCAGCAAAGAACAAAAGTCCATGAGTTAGAATATTTGCTCCCTCCAGTCATGCTAAGAGGTTATACACGATTTATGCATTTATGTAGAGACAAGGAAGCAGCTAGCGTGCTTGCCAGCGAGCAACTAAAATGTAAGTGCATGATAATGGTAATCATTTTTTTGTATTGTATTACTAATTTAATAAATGAAAAATGGACATGGCATGGCTAACATTCTAAAATGCAAGAGTTGTATGCATCTACAGTAGTTCTTTTTACCAGAAATCAAGACTGCTTTTATGCACTCCAAATTTCTGACGTGCCAGTACCATCCATCCATCAAACTCAAACTGTAAATAACTTCGGCTAAAAACTAATTCATTCATTATGGTACAATATACACCCTCCGTCCCATAATATAAGAATGTTTTTCAAGCTTTGTTAGTTTGAAAAGCGTTCTTATATTATGAGACGGAGGGAGTAATAGTTTACTTTTTACCAATATAAGGAATGGGAAAAGAAGAGAAAGAAATATGGTATTCTATTTCATCCAACCTTTTCCAGTAGTATCTGGTCTTCATAGGGTAATCTTGAACTGGTGTTGGATCTCCCACTGACTATTTCCAGAAGCAAAACACCAAAACTATAAACATCTGACTTCCGTGTCACTTGTCCTCGAATAGCATACTCAGGAGCCAAGTAACCTCTGTGAAGTAAAACTGAGTAAGTAATGTCGCAAGTTTATAAGACCATAATGATCATTTATGAATAACTATGTCTTTATTTGTTATTTCAATTGTAATTGCCTCTAACTTCTCCTATGAAACAGGTGGTGTGGTTTCATCATATGTGAAAGATTCTTTTGGGGTGTATTAAATTCAACCAATTAACTTGAAATGCCAATTATAAGCAGTAGCTTCTGAAGGCTCACATATTGGATGCAATAACATCTTATATTATGGGACAGTGGGAGTAGTAAACATGGACTGCAGATGATAATTCATTATAGGTAGATAGTTCCATATGACAAAATTAACTTACAATGTTCCTGCAACCCGTGTGCTAATATGTGTCGCATTTGGAGGTAGAAGCTTTGCTAAACCGAAATCAGAAATTTTGGGGGTGAGATCCTTATCAAGAAGTATATTGCTTGCTTTGATATCCCGATGAACAATGTGGGGATTGACATCATCATGGAGGTATGCTAATCCTCGGGCGATACCAAGGCAAATATTTACTCTACTTCTCCAATTGAACTGGATATTGCTGCGGCCAGAACCTAATAAGAAATAAGAAGAAAAAAGCTAAGGAACATTAGAATATATACCTTTTTTAGCATATATGTATAAGTTTTGAAGAACAGTACGATGAAAAGAACTAATCAAGAATTACCTAGAAGTGTTTGAGCAAGGCTATTATTCTCAAGGTAATTGTAGACAAGGATCCTCTGGTTTCCTTCCACACAATAGCCATAAAGGCTGACAAGATTGCCATGAGATATGTTGGAAATTGACATCAGTTCATTCAGAAACTCCTTTAGTCCTTGTCTTGATTCTACAGATAACACCTTGACAGCAATAAGTTTTCCATTCCTTAGCCGCCCCTGCACCATTATATGATCAAACTTTAAACGTGTACATTTATTCCATTAGAATTCCATTTGGCTTATTAGTTGAAGATTACACACACTACCTTATATACAGATCCAAAACCCCCCTCGCCAATCTTGTTGGATGGGTTGAAATTTTCTGTTGCCCTTGCTAGCTCCTTATAAGTGTATCTTATTGTATTAATATCACCAGGGAGGTCTGTAAAAATTAGGTTAAGTATTTAAATATGGCAATATGAAGAAGGTGACCATATCATAGTTCACAAGAGTGTAGAACAGTCTGTATAAAAGATATCTACCTTCAGTATGCGTAGAAATTTGCTGGCGTGTTGCCCCACTTTTATAGCAGAAGAAAGGAGAACAACCCATTACTTATATTCTCAGAATATGTCAGCCTCACCGTTGTCAGTTCAATAAATACGTTTGAACTTATGATATCCACAAGGACATTTCACCAACCTTAAACAGCTGCCATCATATCCTGAAAATAAATGAAACTTATGGTCACCACAAAGAGAATTATACTGAATGAGCCATCATATTTGTTAAGTTGCCAGTCGGTGGGTCCCTGTTAGAGTACGTAATGGGCTTAATAGGCCCGTTAGTCTTAGGGTTAATTAGAGATAAGAGTCGCTTTCTCAGAGGTCAAGTAAGCCTTGCTTGGGAGTCAAGTAAACCTCTCTATATAAAGAAAGGAGATGTATCAATCTAATCAAGCAAGAATTAAGAAGGAAATCCCTCCCATCTTGCCCGGCCGTGGGCAAAAGGCCCCCGGCCGGCCTTCTTGCGCCCTCCTTCTAGCAGCGCCGTAACAATTTGGTATCAGCTAGCTTCGGTTCGATCATGTCTTCACCGCCGCCCAACCCGTCTCTTCCGCTGCCGATCACGACCGTCGCCCTGCTCCTGCCCGCGCCGGGATCCTCCGTCGCGCCCGCCCCCGTCGTCCTCACCCCGGAGGTGTCCGGGGCGCTGCGGGACCTAACACAGGCGGTCCAGGAGATCCACCTGTTCTTGGCCGGGTCCTATGGGCCGCAGCCGGCTGCGCCGCCCATCACCGCCACCGCGCCGCCGTGGCTGCCGTGGCAGCCGCCGCACCAAGCGGCCCCCGCCGCGCTCACCGGGCTGCAGCAGCAGCCATCCATCGCCCCGTCCTGGCTGTCGTGGCAGCCACCGCACCAGGCGGCCTTCGCCGCGCTCGCCGGGCCACTGCAGCTGCCATCCATCGCCACCACCGCCCAGCCCTGGCTGCACTGGCAGCCGCCGCTCCTGCCGGCCTCCGCCGCGCCCGGCGCTCTGCCGCAGCAGCCGCTGCCGCTGCCCGGTGCGCCACCGCCGCAGCCGCTGCCACAGCCACCGCCGGTTAGCTCCGGCCCCGCATCGACCGCACCGGCGGGAGTCCCGCTCCACCAAGTCCAGTCCCCGCCGTCGCCGTCACCGCTTCCGTCTTGGATCGCTACCCGCCACGTGTCGGCGGCGGTGAGGCTGCAGGCTACTGCGCGCGGCCTCCTAGCGCGTCGGCGTGTGCGGGAGATGCGTGGTCTGCAGCTGCCGCTCCTCCAAGTTGCCCTTCGCTGCGCAAAGGACCTCGATCTCATCCGCTGCGCCGGGGATCTTGGGCATGCGGTTTTCCCCACGGGCAGCGGGCATGCTGTTTTCCCCACGGGCAGCGACCTCCAAGTCTGCGACATTGGCGGTTGAGGGGGCGCACCCCTCCTCGTCATTCTCCATCGCAAGGCCCCCACTCTTCCCTGTGCGGTGCAGACCAACAGCCGTCCAGCAGGAAGAAGGCATGGTGTCACCGACAACAACGCACCACGTAGCACCACTGCATTCCGTCACCGGGCGCCGCAAGGGCACCTCTGCTGGTCACTCTTGCGACCACTTCCAGGTGGCCATACACATGCACTCCTTTTGTCCAGATGGTGTCCATGGGATCCAGGTGGCTGTACACGTGCACGTCCGACGTGCGGATGGTATCCACTTTTTGTTAAGAGGTCCAAAATAAATCGTCCCAGTCCATTTCAGGTTGAGAATAATAAAACAAGCCGAGATGTAAAAGGCTTGTTTTTAGGTGTTAGGTTTGGGTTGCGTCGAGTCATGGTTATAAGTTGGTTAGGCTGCAGCTTGAGGACAAGCTGCATGTCCAGGTGGGGTGTAGTGTTAGAGTACGTAATGGGCCTAATAGGCCCGTTAGTCTTAGGGTTAATTAAAGATAAGAGTCGCTTTCTCAGAGGTCAAGTAAGCCTTGCTTGGGAGTCAAGTAAACCTCTCTATATAAAGAGAGGAGATGTATCAATCTAATCAAGCAAGAATTAAGAAGGAAATCCCTTCCATCTTGCCCGGCCGTGGGCAAAAGGCCCCCGGCCGGCCCTCTCGCGCCCTCCTTCTAGCAGCGCCATAACAATTTGGTATCAGCTAGCTTCGGTTCGATCATGTCTTCACCACCGCCCAACCTGTCTCTTCCGCTGCCGGTCACGACCGTCGCCCCGCTCCTGCCCACGCCGGGATCTTCCGTCGCGCCCGCCCCCGTCGTCCTCACCCCGGAGGTGTCCGGGGCGCTGCGGGACCTAACACAGGCGGTCCAAGAGATCCATCTGTTCTTGGCCGGGTCCTATGGGCCGCATCCGACTGCGCCGCCCATCACCGCCACCGGGCCGCCGCACCAAGCGGCCCCCGCCGCGCTCGCTGGGCTGCTGCGCTGCAGCTGCCATCCATCGCCCCGTCTTGGCTGCCGTGGCAGCTGCTGCACCAGGTGGCCTCCGCCGCGCTCGTCGGGCTGCTGCAGCAGCCGCTGCATCTGCCATCCACCGCCACCACCGCCCCGTCCTGGCTGCCGTGGCAGCCGCCGCACCAGGTGGCCTCCGCCGCGCTCATCAGGCCGCTGCAGCAGCTACCATCCACCGCCCCGCCCTGGCTGCAGTGGCAGCCACCGCTCCTGGCGACCTCCGCCGCGCCCGGCGCTCCGCCGCAGCAGCCGCTGCAACTGCAGCAGCCATCACCGGTCAGCTCCGGCCCCGCATCGACCGCGCCGACGGGAGTCCCGATCCACCAGATCAAGTTCCCGCCGTCGCCATCACCGCTTCCCCAAGGCGTCCCCATCCAGCAGATCAAGCTTCCGCCGTCGCCGTCACCGCTTCCAGCTTGGATCACTACCCGCCACGTGTCGGCGACGGTGAGGCTGCAGGTTGCTACACGCGGCCTCCTAGCGCGTCGGCGTGTGCGGGAGTTGCGTGATCTGCAGCTGCCGCTCCTCCCAGTTGCGCTTCGCTGCGCAAAGGACCTCGATCTCGTCCGCTGCGTCGGGGATCTTGGGCATGCGGTTTCCCCCACGGGCGGCGGGCATGCTGTTTTTCCCGCGGGCAACGACCTCAAAGTCTGCGACATCAGCGGTTGGGGGGGCGCACCCCTCCTCGTCATTCTCCATCGCAAGCCCTCCACTCTTCCCTGTGCAGTGCAAACCAACAGCCGTCCGGCAGGGAGAAGGCATGGTGTCACCGACAGCAGCGCACCGCGTAGCACCACTGCATTCCGCCACCGGCCGCCGCGAGGGCGCCTCTGCTGGTCACTCTTGCGACCACTTCCAGGTGGTCATACACATGCACTCCTTTTGTCCAGGTGGTGTCCATGGGATCCAGGTGGCTGTACACGTGCACGTCCGACGTGCGGATGGTGTCCACTTTTTGTTAAGGGGTCCAAAATAAAGCGTCCCAGTCCATTTCAGGTTGAGAATAATAAAACAAGCCGAGATGTAAAAGGCTTGTTTTTAGGTGTTAGGTTTTTGTTGCGTCAAGTCATGGTTATAAGTTGGTTAGGCTGCAGCTCGAGGACAAGCTGCATGTCCAGGTGGGGTGTAGTGTTAGAGTACGTAATGGGCCCATTAGTCTTAGGGTTAATTAGAGATAAGGGTCGCTTGCTTAGGGGTCAAGTAAGCCTTGCTTGGGAGTCAAGTAAACCTCTCTATATAAAGAGAGGAGATGTATCAATCTAATCAAGCAAGAATTAAGAAGGAAATCCTTCCATCTTGCCCGGCCGTGGGTTAGCTAGGTGGTTTGAGACCAATATTTTCTAATTAATTGGGCAACTCTGCTTCTTCCATGGTGAATTGCACAGCTCCAGCCCTTTCGTGGTTTTAAAAAAAAACACGGCCAATCTGTTCTTTTCAGTCCAACAGCTATATTAATTGGGATTTAGTTATATTTCTCCATCAAGAGGAGGAAGTAATATTATGTTAGTGTAAACTGTGACTACGTGCGGTGCTAAACAAAAATGCACACTTTCTGCCTTGCAACTAGCAGCTAAATCAGGCACTACTAACTTATAATTAAACGTACTACAGAAGTTTACAGAGGGAGTACAACTTTAAAGTTGTACTAAAGCAGCAACAAGTATTATGGATCGGAGGGAGTATTATCTTTTGCATGGAAGATCAAAATTGCTGATGTACTCCAGGGTGATCTGTTCAAGCTCAGAACATGCATAGAGTTCTCACCAGAGAAACATATCTAACTACTACATCAGCAGCTGAAAGCAACTTAAGCTTATAGCCGACTATACAAATTAGATAAGGTCCACTATGACATAAATAGTACTTTTAAAAAGTGCGACCGAGTATCTCAGTTTCTCCACCTGCGACGTCTGCTACAACTTTAATAAATGGGCAGAGCTCCCTGCGATAGGTATCAACAATATATTTATCAACACTTCAAATAAACTATTCAGCGGGATGTCACACTTGGACAGGCATTACCTCGTGGATGATTTCCTGCTAGGACTTCCAACTAATCTAGGGGGAAATGGTGGTGTATTCGTCTCGACAAAGATGATTTTATAGTCTAAGTGTCTCTGCTACCAATTAAACTAATCTATCTCACACCGTCACACGCAATAGATCGCCAAAAGGTACACGACTCCACCCAGCAGCTTCTGTGTTCACACAGGATACCACATTTCAGCTGTACAACACTTCTAAATACCCTCACCCAAAACCAGCCAAAACCGGCGAAACGTTGTGACGATTATAAACTATGGCGCAGGGCCAGGTACGAAACTACAATATTCATCAGCGAGCAAAATCGAAGCCGATTTCAGTCTTGGGCGACACTGGAACTAGATTCATCCCACGAATTCCTCCCAAATCTCCCTCTGATCAACCAATCATCGACAGAATCAGAACCCTGGAAAGTTCCCTAACCCCTTGGTGAAGAGCAGACCTAAGGCCGTAAAGTAGAATCAAAACGCCCAATCCTTCTCCTCCAGAGAGAAAGACCAGAGCACCCAACCAAGCAGGGTAGCAGACTGACCTGATCAACCGCAGCCTAATCCACCGTCCAGCCCCGGGAAGCTGTCCCCCGGGAAACTCGAATTCGACG